GGAGCAAACTTTTTACCATTTATCTCTATTAGAGTCGAAGTTATCGATGAAAGTGGTGGGGTGGAGAAGTTGGAAGATTTGGAAGTCACCATTACAGTTTGTGGAAAGGGTGAAGACGGAGAAAAGGTGTGGCGAAGAAAGATGGGTTAGGTTCTTGGTAAAAAACAAGGGTAAAATTGATTGAAGTATTTAAAGAGACCGACTAGGGTATTTGAAATGACGAATGTGAAGAGGGTAATTAATACGTGGCGTGCGCGTTGTGACAGTGGAGGTGATGTGATTTGATATTTGACATAAAGCAGCAGAAACCCTAAAAACCCTAAAAAACCCCAGAAACCCTAAACCCTAAAAAGTTATTTTGAGCTTCAAGAGCGTTTAAGGGCGGGAGTTATTTTTGAAAGAATATAAATTTGGTACAAATATTTATATTCTTCCAAGGGGACATTTTGTTAGTAAAAAATCGATACAAGGATCGAAAAACGGAAAAGAGAAAATCGAAGATCATATGATTGGTTAAAAAGTTGATAAATCGGAAAAATGGTTGGAAGACATTCGATGACCACGAGACAGTATGAACACATAAATCGAGAATGGAGATCGAGAATAAGAAGATAGAGGAAATTCGATGAAAGTAAGAAATCGATAATAAAGTATGGAGTGTAAAGTTAGGGTTAAGGGAAATTATACTTGATAACTGGAATCGAGATCGAGAGAAACGGTTATCATGCACATGGAACATGGGGAGTGGCTTTCCAAATCGTGGCTAAAGTTAGAAATCGATGAACGGTTAAAGCACACATGGAACATAGAAGCGGTTTTCTAAACCATAGGCTAAGGTAAAAATCGAGGAACGTGCACATGGAACGTGGTGACAGTTTTCTTTAACTGCTCTTGGGAGGTTACATTGAAGGATGCCTATAAATAGAACGAAACTGGAAGAAGAAGGGGAAATTGGCAGAGACAACATAAACACAAGTGAAAAGTCTACCGGAGAACGACGAATCATAAAGTTTCTGGCGATCTGAATTTCCATTCTCATTGACTGTTTTTACCTCTTTCTTTACTTTCCTTGTTAACTTATTTTCAGGCAATTTACGTTCATCAATTTAAGTTTCCATACTTTCAATTACTTGTCAGTTATCTTTAATGCAATTTAAGATTCTGTATTTTCAAATGTTTGTCATTTACCGTTTCTGCAATTTTGACGTCCTGTCATTTATTTTCATGCAATTTTAATTCTGTCATTTACAGTTAATGTAATTTCGAGTTTTTCGCATTTACAATTTCCTATATTCTAATATTTCGCACTGCTTTTGTTTCATTTTGATACCTTTTACTGTTTTCCTTACTTCGCGTTTCTTAATAAAATACCAAAAATAGTACTTTCGATTTTTAATTTGTATGATCAATTGCATCGATAACATTCCCCGATCTTGTGATATTTTCGATTCTCATACACGTTTTGATTGAAAATTGTCGCTAGCCTAAGTAAAAAGAATTTACGTGATTGAAATTTGATTAGAACCTAAGAAATCGAAATCGATCAAATTTTCACCCGAATGAGGTGGTATATTTGTTCTTATGTCGTGCTGTTTGAAGTTCATTTGATAAAATATGCATATGAAAAATGAGTCAGCAAATGGTAGAATTGCAGATAATGGGTGGCGCTTTTATCTGCGTGTTGCACAATTTATAGCGAATTCTGAGACTTTAATAGGACCACTTAACCTATTTTTTCACGTCAGATAGAAGTTATTAATCGTAATTTTAACACTTACTAACGTATTTGATGTGATTTCTTTCCTGTCTAATATATTTTCAAACACACAATTATTGATTTCCGACTGAGTTAGTACTGGGTAGACCACAAGTATACCTTGTATTTTACGTGAACTCGTGAAGAATCAATTATAGTCTAGAGTTTATCTAACTTTGAAGACGCATTTTAGGTCTACAGTTCAAAAATAATGATATCAAATTAGTTTTTTTTTTTCTAATTTTAAAAGGAATGGGTCTCAATATTCTTTAAAGATTACCATGGAATTATTGAAATAAATTACGCCTTGAAATATTACTTATGTATCGTACTTAGATAAATTTTGTCTACCTCCAATAGATGAACGTCGTAGTTAGGAATATGACAATTTCCGTTTATTAATTTTGGGTAAATTTTAAAAAAATTCCCGATTACGAGAAAGTTGCGCATTAAATACAACTTCGTCTTTCAATCGTTCATACATTTCTTTTTTTATTTTTATTTTTTGAAATTATACTTTAATACAAAATTTTATTAAAAAATTTATTATTTATCGAAGTAGTCTCGTAAATGATGCTTTAATTGATTTTTTATTTTGTTAATACTGAGATTATCGATTGATTCACGATTTTAATTAAAATTTTTTTTATGAATAACGAATTTAGTTCATATATTTTAAATTAATTTTTTATTTTTATTTAGTAAAAGTTTGATTTTGATATTTATTAAAATAAATAATCAAGTATTATTTAGAAGTTAATAATATTAAATAAATAAATAATTAGTTAATTACTTATAGTCAAACTGGTACAGAATTTTAATGTCTCCAACTTCCTTACTTTCATGTAATTATTATGTAATTATTGTATGTTCATATTATCACTTACATATTAATAAATATGTTGACCCGGTATATAAACTATGAAATATTTACTAAGATGTGTGAGATACAATTTCATCCAATTTAAAATGAAAATTATTTATTTCTTTATTTAAGTTCAAAATATATTTCTAATTCAAGTTTACATTAACAACAATAAAAAAGATTTACAATAAAAAAGACTAATAACAAATCGTATTTATAATGAGATATATAAATTTATTTTAAATAATAAAAAAAAGTTCATTTTATTATAACAAAGTCATTATCACAGTAATTAACTATTTTGACAATGTAAAAATTAATTTTCTTATATAATAAATGCATATTTTCTTTAATAATATATACATATTTTCTTTAATAACATATTCATATTTTCTTTTTAATAATATAATATATTAAAAAACTATTTAATATTATAGACATCTAAATAATATTTAATTATTTTTTATTTTTAAATATTAAATAAAAATTTACAAATAAAAAATTAATTTAAAAATATTTAAACAAATTGATAATTTTAGTATAAAAAAATTAAACTATTTAGCTTTTAAAAAATTGTATTAAAGTCGTTAATTGGAACAAGACTTCAATACAAAAATTTTAAAAAAAAAATCACATGAAAAAAATAGTTTGTTTGGGTACGACTTCAATCAAATTCGTCATCCCATGAAATCGTATATCACGACCTACCAATATTAAAAAAAAATATTTACAATTTATCCATTTTAAAAATAAATAAAGCAAATTACTCCCAATTTGCTTTTGACTATCACTTACATGACTCTTATTATAGATATTTAGAAAATCATTTGATACTAAATTTTTTTGATAATTTACACTCACCTTCTTCAACATTTTTTTTAGATACTAACTTGTTTTATTTTAAAATAAAAAATAAAAAATTACCTACATATGTCTTAATGAGAGACGCTCATCATTTTTTTTCCAACTTTACACCTCACAGTTATTATTAAGAAGACAAGACAAAAACGATTTATGTTGTAGAGGAAACACTACATTATACATCACTAGATTCTCAAGAGTTAAATTATGCATTACCAGTTAATTGTTTGTTCTTTATATTTCTTTCATTTCAGTGTCTATTTGTTTGTTATTCTTCTACATAGATTGATATGCGGTTCATGTGCAACAAATAAAGAAGAATAACATTTAAAATTGTCTTCTTTTTTTTAAAGAGGAGGAAAAAAAGTAAAAACAAAAACCCAAACAACCAAAAACAGACTAAAACAGTGAGAAAGAGATTACAGTAGCACCTACCATCAACAAGGATGATAACATTTGAGGTACAGAAGCGTCCAAACCTACTATTCATTGCCAGCCATGGAAGTGAGTGATGAAGGTTGAAGTAGCAGACAGCAAAATTCTGGCCTTCCTTTCTTCGTTCAGCCATTCACCTTCATTTTAATATTGAAATTAGGTACCCATTATTTGATTCTCAATACGTACAAATACAAATACATAGTGAGGTGTTAAGAACAAAAGAAAAGATTTTGCTTCATTTCAACCCTAGCCTATGGATACGTGGGTAAGGTGCATCCCTCCAACGCACACCCACGTCAGGCTACTCTATCAACGCGTCCATCGTTGGTTGGTTACGCCATGTCACTGTAAAGTCACCCACCAACCTTTCTTCCATTTTTCTTCTTCTCCATCTAAAAGGACAAAAATGCCCACTTTTATCTTACTTCAAAAACCTTTACCTTTGTACTCCGTATATTATACCAGGCGGCTACACGCGTTTATACGACATTTTCTATCTCTTTCCTTCGCTTTCGCCGTCGCTTTCTCTTTCTGTCAGAGTCAACAGCAACCCTTTTCTGAATAATTGAGTTCGTAAATCGTAATCACCACTTCTTCCTGCCTTCAATTCAAACTACAATTTAATAACCCGTTGCATTTTGTTTTAGCTTTCCTTTGATGTTTTTACTGTATAGCTTGTGATCTCCGGTGTCGTTTTGATCAGCTTCTGGGGAGTAAGAATCCGCCCTCTTTCTCTTTCTGTTTTTAGCTTTTCTTCGTTGGTTCAGATTTTCACCCATTTGTGATTTGATCCGCTTTAAGAAATTTTAGGGTTCTGAGATGAGGAAATGGAATTAGTGCGTTGGGGTTTGAATCTTTTCTTCTTTCCCTTAAAAAAATCGTACCTTGTTGTAAAAATTTGTTGTTAGAACTTGCTTACTGTCCTGGCAGGAGTGAGGTATCAAATTATCACTCTGGTTAGCCTAATTGTACAAAATATGGTAGTGTTTTTGTGAAATTTATAGGGTTTCGGTGGTTTAGTTCATAGTTTTAACTTGATCTGTTTTGTCTTCATTCACTTCTTCGATACCCATCGTGAAAATGTCTTCAGCCAGTCTTTCTACTCTGAGCGTGGTTCCCTCTGAGCCATTGTTGTCACCAAAGGCATTCCCTTTCCCATCACACTTGTCTTTGGAAGATAAATCCATTTTCGTATATCTCTCCTTTTCGGGTTCATTGACTCCAGTCCGTGTTATGGAGTGGGATACCATTGAGTCTGTGAAATTCAAAATCCAAAGGTGTGAAAGCCTTCCATTTTAAACAAACAAGCAGAAGTTGGTTTATACTGGCCGAGAACTCGCGCGGAGTGATTCTCTGCTGAAGGACTATGGAGTAACCGGTGGAAATGTTTTGCATTTGATAATCAAACTGTCGGATCTTCAGGTCATCAATGTGAAAACTTCTTGTGGGAAGGAGTTCACGTTTCAGGTTGAAAGAGGTCGGGATGTTGGGTACGTAAAACGGCGGATTGCCAAAAGAGAGAAACAGTTTGATGATCCCGAGGAGCAGGAGCTTGTGTGCAACGGGGAAAGGCTTGATGACGGGAGGCTTATTGATGATATCTGCTGCAAGCATAATGATGCTGTGGTACATCTGTTCATGAGAAAAAAGCATGTTAAAGTTCAGAGGGGACCCCTTGAGTTGTCCATTGTAGCAACAGATTTGATTGATAAGAAAAAAAATGATGTCAATGGAAGGACATGTAGGAGAAATTATGATGTTGGTAAAGAAGATACTGTCAGAGAGTCTGGTGCCACTCAAAGAACTGTGCCGAGAAAGCCTCCTGACAGAGGTTTTATTTTGGAGCCAGTTATTATTAACCCTAAAATTGAATGTGCTCCAGCTATATGGAATATGGTGAACTCTACATATGATGGGCTTGACAGTGGAAAATATCCAATCAGATCTGCAGAGGGTAGTGGAGGAGCTTACTTTATGCTTGATTCAGCGGGGCAAAAGTATATGTCCGTTTTCAAGCCTATTGATGAAGAGCCAATGGCTGTGAATAACCCTCGTGGCCTTCCGTTGTCGTTAAATGGTGAAGGCTTAAAAAAGGGTACAAGAGTTGGTCAAGGTGCATTCAGGGAAGTTGCAGCCTATGTTCTAGATCATCCATTGAGTAGGCGGCGCAAATTATTTGGTGATGAGAGGGGCTTTGCAGGTGTTCCTCCAACGTTGATGGTTAAATGCTTGCATAAAGCATTTAACTATCCTAAAGAATTGATTCCTAAGATTGGCTCCTTGCAAATGTTCATAGAAAATAATGGAAGCTGTGAAGATATGGGCCCTGGGGCTTTCCCAGTAAAGGAGGTACATAAAATTACTGTTTTGGACATAAGACTGGCAAATGCAGATAGGCATGCTGGGAATATTTTGATCAGGAAAGAGGAAGACAACAACCAGTCTGTTCTGATTCCAATTGATCACGGATACTGCTTGCCTACGACCGTAAGCATCTTATTTTATGATCTCTTGGTTGTGTTTTAATGCATGTAGTTATCCTTCTATATTATTGTATTTTCCTTGTCTTTGTTATGTCACCGTATATACTGTATTGCATCAATTGACATATTTGTCGTTCGAACAGTTTGAAGATTGTACCTTTGAGTGGCTTTACTGGCCCCAAGCTCGCCAGCCATACTCCCCAGAATCTATTGAGTACATAAAGTCACTGGATGCTGAAGAAGATATTACCCTTTTGAAGTTTCATGGATGGGATCTGCCAGTTGAATGTGCTCGCACTCTTAGGATCTCAACCATGCTTTTGAAGAAAGGGGTAGAGAGAGGGTTGACTCCCTTTGCCATTGGAAGCATGATGTGCAGGGAATCCTTGAACAAGGAATCTGTGATTGAAGAAATAGTACAAGCAGCTCTGGATTCTGTTCTTCCTGGCACAAGTGAAGTTACATTGCTGGATGCTGTTTCCCAAATCATGGATCTGCACCTCGATGAGATTGTCAGATCTCGTTTATAATAGCATAGCATCAGGTATATACATGTCAGTGCGTACATATATCTTAGCTCAAATAATTGGATTTTTAGTTCTTGACAATGGAAGTCCATTTTCTTTGGTTGGAATGTCAAACCATTCTTAGCTTAACTTCTTAGGTTTTATTTTTTGGTAGTTTCCTTTTAACAAATTCTTTCAAGTTTGTTGTTGATTTGTTTACTAAATTCGAATTGTAGGGATGGTAGACAACCCCTGTCTCTATTTGAATTATGGTGTAACATTCTTGTCCTGTGTTGTGTTGTCTTGTTTCAACTGCACTGTTGTGGTTGTTAGGAGTGTGAAAAATGGAAATGTGGAAAATGAAGTATTTCTTTACAATGTATAGATACAGTATAATTAAATGTGATTTTGTGTGTACGGACTGTGGACATTGAAATATTTAGAATACTTAAATAACTAAATTTTCTTCATCAAATCATCGAATTGATAATTGTCGTGAAATATATCACGTATGCTAAATTTTAAATATTTTTAAAATTAATTGATTTTTCATTACACCAAATTATAATGTATAGTATAGCTTTTAAATTTAAATCATAATTGATTTTTCTATATTTATTAAAGGCACATATTATATACTTATAAATGTTTAAAATTTGATATACGCTACGACTATAATTAGTATCTAATAATTTTATTTGGTGGCGTATCTAATAATTAGTATGGTATCAAATCAAAGGGATACCTTGAATTAAGATCGGCAATAGGGTAATGCAAGTGACGATATCGTGACTAATTTTGTAACTTTTAATACAATAATGCTGTTTTTCAATGTAAATCAATTTGTTTTCACTATATATGCTAGATACGTTTATAATCTAACTGAAGCTAATCACCAAGGGCTAAGTTCTAGAGCATTATCGGCGGCAAATTTTGTAACCTTTGTGCCTCAAGATATTTTATCCTCAGTAAAATAAAGTAGTTGCTATTCGAAGTAATTTCTAAGATATTTTGACATGCACAATTTTCTTTTATTGAATCTGATCAACTTGCTATCTCCGAGTTGCTCGCCATTGATTGCGATCAATTTCTGACTTAAGTGGTAGGATAAGTAAAATTTCAAAGCACGTTGAAAAGGAACAACCGCTTTCAATATTTCTATGAGAATCTTAAGATTTGGCATATGATACACGTAGGTCTGACAAGTATCTTGGTTAGAACTCAGTTTTTTTTTTATTTTGTTTGGAAGTTGAAATTCCCATAATCATTCACCAGTCAAACATTAAGACTTCTCAAATTATCTACAGCAAGAAAAAAGTATTCAAGAGAATATGCAATCAACCTAGCTACACAGGTTGGGTATGCACACTCCACCTTCAGGGTTTTGCTGTTCTTTCCATATCCTTCCTGTTACCCGTAGCTTCAACTCTTTCCTGTCTCCACCTGAGAAGAAAAGCGCCATGTTGCGGTAAATTATGAGACCATCATGACTGTCTCTGACTTTCTTATGGCTATCTCTAATGCTTCTTGGACTCCCCTCAAAAGTTAGCTTCCGTCCATTTCCACCCACCTCCAAACTGTAGCTGTAGTTCCGGGCTTCTCTTTCGTCACCCATGAATCGGAGGAAAGCCATGTAGACGGGAGCCATGCCAAGCTGGAAGGCCTCAAAATGGAGGCAAAAATATTGGCCAAAACAGTGGAAAACCTAACATAAACAAAAATGAGTTAACCAAAAACAATATGGATGGATTTCAACAGGTGCAAAATGCAGTCATGCTTGTGCATGAAATGAAGGAATATCACATCAAGTTCATCCCATGCTTGCACTACACCCTGAAAAAAGTGTATGTATAATTGTTTAAGATACCGTTAGCATCCATGTAGCATTTTCTACTTCCATGGGATTAGACTTGACATAGCGATGGTTGAAAGTGCATCCAGAATGCATATCAACCCTGTGGTCATCCCTTAAATGAGCAACAAGGCATGGAATATCCCCAACCACGGAGCAGTCTGACCCGGCATAAGGGCAGTTGTATGGTCTGTAGTTACAAATAGCCTCATGTTTGAGTTTGCTGTAATAAGGAAATATCTCCGGACACCCAAGAGAGATGTATCTGCAAGGAAGTTCAAGTGATTCTGCTATCTTCTCTAATGCCAAACACCTTATATCACCGAGCTCCTGCCTGCAAGTTGGGCATCGGTTGTGTACCCTTGTCTTGCAAGTAGAACAAAGTGTGTGCCCGTTGTGGCACTGCATAGCAAAATTTGTTTTAAGAATCAATCACTGCTTTGTTAGCATCTTTATTCAACTATGTATAGTTTACCTATACAAGGACAAGGGCAGAAGGTTTCAATATGCTGACAAAATAATATAACCTAAATGCACAATACAATGTTATACAAAATACAGTCATTGTATTCATCACATTATGATGACAAAACTTAAGATACACCAGATTTGATAGATCACATTTTTTGCAAATATGCAAGCTACGTCACAAGACTTGTGATGAATGAAGGGAATTCATTGTGTTACATACTGAATTTATTAACACCAGTTCTCACAGCAAAAAAGATAGTACCACCTGATCCTTTTAATTTTCCATCCAGTTACTTCTCATTATAAATCAATAATTGCATATTTGGATATATGTGTTGTATTATCTCAAACAAACACTTGGGTGACAGAAACCTGTTGTGCAAGGTCTAGATGTTATTCACCAAAATCAAGTGTGCTCTAATAACTATATTAGGGTGTGTTTAGGTAAACAACTTAATTTAAGTGCTTATTGAATACATATCATTTAAGTGCTTATGTGTAAGTTGTTTCTATAATTGAACAAAAAAAATGGTTAAACTATTTTCATACAAGTTACAAGGTCAGCGGTTTTCATATTCTATCCTAGAAAACTTATGAAGAGAAGTTGTAAACAACTTATGGACATACACAGCTCTCCCAAACACTTACACGGTATTTGTCATAAGATAAGTCTAAACAAGCTCTTCAAAAGCACCTTGAATCTACCCCAAAAGCCTTGTTCATGGTGGAATGATTGATCAAGTCTTGCCAATGTGAGATCTTAATAAACAACACCCCGTCCCTGCCCCCACCCAGTCCCTCTCATGTTCAAAACTGGCATTTTGGAGCATTAAGTTTGTAAGACATTTGTTGAGTTCACTTTCAAGGACCTAACTTCACTTTCAATGAGGTTTGGCCTAAGTCTTGCCAACCTGGGATCTAAACAAATTCACAGCAAACTTAATTTTGGGATACAAATTTCCAATCATAAATCATATCACTTCAAACTCAACCAAATCAATCTTAGAAAATTAAAACAACCCGAAGTCAAGTTCCTAAACATTCGCCTAAACAAACAATAAATTAGAATGCAATGCTCTCACAGCAATGGAGTTGCTTATCAATTCAAGCAATAGACTTTAATGCCATGCCAAAGAATAAAAGAAAAATTTAATATTTCCCTTCCTTCTTGCACGATATGCATCTAATTCTCCTTTTCGTTACTACAGTACCACACCTGAGGAAAAGTGTAAGTCTCACAAGGATTTAACTACTTGTGACAACTTCCGTCATAAAATTATATCACTCCAACTGTACACACTAATTAAAAGTCAGGTTTCCTGGCCTATTAGCAGCATACAACAACTTTAATCATAGACATATCAATCACCCATAACTCATTATATCAATACTTATTTTAGGATATCGTACCAAAACCAATTATGAATAATAAAGTGATTCATGTCAATGTTAGAGAAAGGACAGATAACTAACCTCCCAAATTCCAGTTTTAAACAACAAACATGAAGGAGCAGAGACATCAAACTAACAGTACAATGGAATTCTAAGTCAATTATTATGATGAGCAATGCTAAAAATCCACTCTTTAGCACATTAAAATTAGTTATCTCGTAAATAGGTCACCTCTTACAGCAAGCACTGGCTTTCTAAAGAATAGACCAATATCCAATAATAAAAAAATGCGTTGCTAGCATATCTTTTACTGCAATATGCATAGAAGGAAAAAACTGTGACACATCCCAACAAAAACTGTGATAGTGACTTGGAACAGAGATAATAGACAAACCCAGTAAGACACAAACTCTGTACAGCTGACTTGTTTTTTTTCTTCAATTCAAGCCTTTCTAACATCCTTATCTGCTCAATTAATTAAGTTCACTTGATTGATCAAGAGACAATGGTTGAAGTCCTTACTAATCAAGAATAAGAAAGAAGTTATAAAAACTGATGCAGCTAAGTTTCTTTTCTTATTTTTGAATTGCAATCTATGAAGGTGTACACTGATGAAAGTTTCCACCCAAACATAATGATCATGCCCTTTTTTAGCTATATTTGTTCACATCATACCTTCTGAAAGTCTATAAAATCACAAAAATGACCTGAGTAGGGCTTGATGAAAACGAAAAAGAACATCCGTTCTCAAAATTTGCCATCCCCATCACCACTACTTATATCACCGAAAGCAAACGAGACAAAAGAGGTAAAAGGGAACTCAGAACCTCATGAAAAAAAAAAAAAAAAAAAAAAAAAAAACTAGCCAGCTGCAATCCTTGATCAAAGGAACCCATCATAGCAACCAAATCCTCATTTGCGGAATCATTCAAACTGAAATTCCATCAAAACATGAGATCTAAGCATTAAAAAAGGTGAAAAAGTTCCCAACAACAATTGCACATGCCCTTTATCGAAAGACTTCAGTATGCTATCACAAAATAATCCAAACCCTCCATATCGGACATGCCCATTAAAAAAAACCCTCTTTTTATAGGACCAAATGAAAAAAGGAAAGTAAATATGTACATAAACAAATCGCATAGACACAACGTATAAGGAAAGAAACAAAGTACCACCAAATCAGGTACTTTTTGGAAGCAAACCCAAAAGGAAAAATGGATCAGATAAGAAACCTGATGGATTGGAGGGTACATAGAGTTGGTGCAGACGGGACATTCAAGAAGGTCATGAACACTGGTAGTGGTGGGGCCATTTTTATGCAGCTTCGAGATGGAAGAAAACTGATGAGGATGCTCATCCTCCTCCATCATAGTCATCGACGATACAGTGCTGCTCTCAATGCTACTCGATTCCATTCTTTCACTCATAACACCAACACGCTTAATTTGTGGTCACTCGAATCATATGGGAGTTGAGACGGTTCGGCTTCAGCAGCCGGGTGGTTGTGTGTGTTTTTTAAGACAAGAAGAAGGGGGGAAAAGAAGCTGATTGCTTGCAAAAATTGATGCTTTTCTTCCTTTCTTTGGTCTTCTAAGACAACATAGGAGTGTTACAATAGATAGGTGTCCGAATCCTGATGACCCTTTGATTAGAATCAAACGGTTTTCAGGATTCTCCAACGAAAACCAGGAAGAGAGAAGGCAATAAAGAGATCGAAATGGAGGAGGAGAATAACGTAGAGGATGGAGAATGAAGAGAGAGAAGAATGTAGATCAAGTGATGTTGTTATTTTATTTACTGATTTATTATTTAAGGAGCAGGTAAACGAGGAACCTTTTTTAACCACAATCTTTGGCTACGCTACGCCATGCCATGGTCAAGGTAAATTATTTTATAAAGACACTATTTTTCTGTGTCTTGTCCACATGTGACTTGGAGACTACAACTATAAAAATTTATTTACCCTACTCACTTTTTCCGGTAGATTTTTTTTATCCACACCAAATTAAAGATTAAAAATAAAATACTAACTGTATTCTTCCAACATTTACTCTGGTCTAATTTATAATTTTTTTAAAATGTAAAAAATTATTCAGATAAAGTCAAACTGGATACGTCAGACCAAAAACACTACTAAATTTAACAGTTAAGTCAAACTTAATAGTTGATACATAAATAAAAATATATATAAATAATTATTTGTTTTACTATTATACTTATTTGTTTTGTATAATTATTAATCATCTGGTATTTGGTGTCATTATCGAATTAATTACCTGTCTGAATTTAAAACAGTACAAACTAGGTTAATACCATAGTATATTGGTATGAGTAATTTTCCCCACCTAGATGAGGATGCCAATTAGAAATAGCAGGTTTATATTTTTTTGAAGTCCTGTAGAATTGTGGCATGTGGAGGAAGATGGGGTGTGATGGTGTGCACCTTTGTGTAGAATGGAGGAATGTAGCATTGGTCCACAATGCCACTATCAATTATTTTCTTAGTTGGCTGTTCAATCTGTTGCTTCTTTTTTATATTATTGCTTTCTCGACTTAATTACCTTTAGTCATACCATTGCGTAATTTGAGGACACTCTTAAAACACGTATACCTTATGCATCTTCTATCAATTATTTACAACACCTTCTTTTTCTTTTCTTTTCTTTTTTTACTTGTTTCTCTATTTCTAGGAGGCTTACACAGTTTTCCCTTTCATTTTCGGTAACCATCGTCGTAATTACATCACTCTTCTTCACTTATACTTGTATCGTGCATAGCTTGTTTTATTTGTAATTCTTTCCACTTTTTGCTTTATATTGACTTTTACTGTTAAGGAGTGGAACACAAAGAAGGAAAAAAAAAGGTCAAATAACGTATATATAAAAAAAAAACGTAGAAGAAAGTACTAAACATATCATATTTTTTGCTATGTCATTGCTCTCATCCTACCACGCATATGATTAAAATCAAGGTGATTTTTTCTTTCAATTGTGGTTATTAAATATTAGGAAAATGATGCATAATAATGAGGTTTGTTGGGTTAAAGATAACGATTTCCAATGAATGATTAGCATGAATAATGTGTTAGAGCAACAAAAAAACTAATGTAACTTTTTTTTTCCTTATGTTAAACCGTAAGCTCCACTGTACAACATGTTAGAACAAGAATCATGGTGTGTGAATCAGTGCACTATTATTTATAGTATTAGGATCACATGAAGATACTTAACTTTTCTGAGCTGATTCCCGTCTTGCGCTCATCATCCCAACCTAGGAAGGTTTGCAATAAAATATTGGCAATAGAAATGATTTTGATCTGTCCCTGCTTCATCTCAAATTCACCATGCCTAAATATATTATAAAAAGCATTAAATATTGTCATATTTTAGCTCATGTGGTTGTGTACTGACAAAAGTTTCCCTCACGAACCACAAGTGATAACCATACAAAAGAACATTTAGCAGCAAAAGTTCAGGTTTGGTGCCAAAAAATTAGGGCAAAAGGAATATTCTTTTTCTAGTTCCCAGTGAGGCAGTGACTCTGCTCCACCTTCCTACTCCCTTTATTTCGAAATCATAAAATATAAAATAGAAACCCTCTTACCGTTTACAGCAACATCTGATATACATCTAGGTGAGGGAGTAAGCTCAAATTTTTCCATATCAAGCGAGATTGTGCTTACTCAATAATATCTTAGTCGGGGAAGAAATACTTCGCTTAGTAGCCATGCAGCAGCAGGAACAACTCAGGTCGCTTAGCCGACAGGTGAATGCCCTTCTTTAATGGCAATGGATACCATGTATGACACCTTTCAAGTTGCTAAAACATCATACAAGGCACTTCTAAGATTCCTTCGAGTTCCAACTGGTGTGTATCAACACCACAATTTCATTTATTCAGAAATAGAAGTTCAAAGTCAATGTGCGTTTAGGTGATTTTAACATTTAGAATAATAATTAATGAATTTAAGACTTGTTACAAAGCAGTGATGGTTAACAAATACAAGTGAAATTTTAATTCGGCGTCATTGTCGAACTTGCAATCCTCTGTCATCTTCCATTATGCCAAACGTATGTACAGAAAACATGGGAAATAAAATTAAAAATGCAGCCAAGCTGGTCCTTATTAGTCTGCCTACAAAGAAATAACTATGCAGAAAAAAAAAATGAATGGATGTGGTTTGTTTGTTTTATTTTACTCAAATAAACTAACAGCCTCATGAACCCAAAATCTTAAGTTTGGTTCCGACTTCAGATTAATCACACTCGCTCAACAAAGATTCTACCCGGTTTACCATTGATTTGGGAAGGCTTCTCTATACTTGGCATCCTCACCTGACACATGCTGCCTATCTGCAGTAACCCTTGCATGCGAACTCAAAAGTTTCTGAGCTATTCTATCTTTTGATGTTACTTTCTTTCGCAGCATGGAAGCAAGACTTTGCTTCTTGTTTTTGGCAGATAGTTTATCTTCATTAGTTACATCCCCATCTTCTCCAAGCATGGCTGATCCTGAAGTCGAAGCCAAAGCAGCATCTCGTAATACAGCTTCATTGTGTTCCCGAATTTTTGCTAGTTTTGCACGTTTCAGCGACTGTTTATCAATTTCCCTCTTCTTTGCTCCCTCTTGGTCTCTCACACGAATATTTTTCACTGCTTGTTTGGCTAACTGCTCTACTAAATCAGACCCTAAATGCACATTCATGTCTTCTGAAGTGCTCTGATTGAGTGGCCTCCCTTCGTCATCGCGAGGAATGATAGGTCCATGAAATGGACAAACTTTCATATCTCTTCTCTGGCATAATCCTCCTTTCCTCAAAGGAGCCAGGCATGGTTGGATCTCAATTTTCTTTTCTTCATAAGGCATTGCGTGAACATTCAACTCGGCAATTTTATCTGCTGGAATAACTGCATCAGCATCCACCCTACCCCAGTGACTATCAAGCTCCAAACCCCGCTGGTTAGCCATAAAAACCCTGTTTGAACCCCAATTATCCAAGTAAGAACTCCATCGTACCACAGGAGCTTCAGCTATAAGTTTACTCCTCTGAGAGTTTGACTCAACTTCACGTCCCTGATGAAGCAGCCTATCCGTATCAGAGCTAGTAGACCTTTTATCTTGCCAACCAAGACTATCACTATTCATTTTATGGGAAGTTGATGCCACATCAAGATGTTTATTTTTATTATTGGCAGCGCCAGATGAGATTTCCATAGATACAACATTATCGTCCTCCCAAAAATCTTCCTCGTCATGTTTTAAGGAATTTAGAAGCGAACAACCAGCCTCTTCACATTTACTTTTAACTGATTTTAGACGATTTCGGATATCAATGAACTCTTTTAAAGTAGAATCTCTGAATCTATTGTCAGATGCTTCAACTCTTACTAAAACAGAAATCCACTCTTGGATGGAAATTAAGTGCTTTGTCATTAGAAGTTTGTATAGCTCCCTCAATGTATCAAAAACTACTGTGTTATCACTGTTCTCATATACTTTCTCCCCTTCTTTTAATGCTTCAAGACGAAGCTGCTGCAGCTCCAAAGAACGGAAGTCACCAAGTTCGTCGTCGTCCAATATATCATCAGACACAGATTCCTGTTTTGCATGCAAAATATCCAAACACTCATCAATCTCATCCATCGTAGACAGAATCCCTCCCTTTATTGAAGATGCATTCTCTTTCAAAGACTCATACTTGCTCAGTAAAATCTCCTTTGACCTCCTCTCCCTTTCCCTTCTCTCCTGCTGAACCCGCTCCACATTAGCTTGTATGTTAGGAAATTGGAGCCTGAGTGTATTCTTCAGGTAATCATAACCCAATCTGAGCTGTCTGTAATGAACCCCAAACGTGACGTTCCACTTCTCCAAAAATTCAATGGCCTTCGAACGTAAAATAGAAGCAATAGCTGGTGGAGCAGGAAGAGGCACGTTTCGCCTGAATCCAACACTCAAACTCAGCAACTGATCCATGTTCTCGATAACAAGGGTCCTAAAAAGCTTTGAACGCATGAAGAGTTCATCAATTATTAGAAGCGCCAGGTACCGGACCTGCAACACATAGCTGTCAAGGTCAATCTGAGGAATTTGTGCTGGAGATGACAGTTGGAATCTGTACGTAAAAATTTGGGGTTGAGCTAATGAGTAAGGTTTTTCAACACAGCCATAAAGAGAATGGGACATCATCATCTTATAACCCTTATAGCATCAAACATAGCTCGTAGTGAAATTGTCATTTTTGTTGTTTCTCGCATGTATGATCTTTTCTGAACTTAGCCCCTCCCATGTTGAGGAATTGTCATTTGAAACAAGCTTTTCATTCAGAAATTAAATTCATTGATGCATGATTTAATTAACCCTAATTGGAAACCAGAAGAAGGGAAAGTAAAAACCTAGTACTAATGATAGGTGGAAAGGGAAGAGTACCTGAGAGTGGTCGCGCTTCATGAGATCCATGAGGGTTAGGGTTGCGACGCGGAGCTCCGAATCGGAATATCGAACCACCGTTTTAATGGCCTTGAGGAGGCGGGGGTCGACCTCCGGCGCAGTGGAATTGGTGGCCTTCTCAATCAAAGAGACCACCTTTGTTCCCTTTCCATGCCCTCCTTCTTCCGTACCCATCAAGTCCCAATCCCAAATTCCTTTTCGTCTATATATCTGATTTTGAAAAACCCTAATTTATGTATGTAGCGACTTTCTCCCTTTACGGGGATTGGCTTGCGCGCTACGTCGTCGAGGCATTGAAGGTTCGGTTCAATGAAAACCTGTCGTTTTCAAAGTGTTCATAATTTAGTTTGCACTATGAATGTTATCGTTGTCTTAAATTGAATTTAACTTGATGCTTGATCAATTAGATATCATTGAACATGTTAATGAACGACTTCTTGTCAGTGCTAACTAAACTAACAAAGTTATCCAATATAATTTAATAATTTAATTTATTATTTTAATAAGATGTATACTTGTTAGAATTTATTTTCTTGAATTAAAAGGCGTAACAATGAATAAATTTGATAAGATATGGGCTCCATGATACTCACATAATAAAATCATAAAGTAATCTACACAATTATATTTTCTATATATCCTAAATTCCAACGTGACTTTTATATTTTTTGTTTGATAAAGTTGTTTCTGAAAAAGTAGATATCGAGAGTGGTATATTGGGTAGTGAAATTTTGTGGAAGTTGAGCTTGCACACCATGATTTTGATTTGGAAAAGCAGAGTGGTGTGTGTTAGTGGCATCTCCACTTTATAGTCTCTCTTTAACAGCTAGATTCCATCGGTTTGGAAAAGAAGCAATTGCTTTTCTCCTTCCAAAGTTACACTACCTTCCTCCTAACATTTGACAAAATTCTCCAATCCCTGTTTGTTTTGTAGCTCTTCATTTTGAAGCCATGAGCTGGTTGTTGCAGGGTGCATATTTTGACCCAGTTTGTTGTTGTGGCATGTGCAATATGGGCATTTGGGAACATTTTCATGTTCATGTGCATGTGCTTCTTCAACCAAGGCAAAAAAGGTTGAAAATAAGAGTTGTTTACTTGTTTTCGTACCACAAACGACACAACTCATTCCACGTGTAAGGCTGTAAAAGTGACTCGTATGTAAGTAGCTTAGCTGCTACAGCACCTGGGCAAACCATTCCAAATTTCCAATTTGAATTTTAGAGGAATCGCTTTTATTTTAATTTCGGCATTTTATTTATTTTATAAAATAAATACTCTTATATAATTAAAATTTATATTACATTATTTTTATGAAATATAAACTATATACTAATTGAATGTCGTAACAAGCAAATATGTATACATAACTATAATATTATAGATTTATAATAAAAAATTATATTGTGATTTATAATAAGTTTTATCATTTTTTTAAAAATATTAAAATATAATTTCGAGGCAGATAACATAATTATGAATAACTAAAAAAGATTAAGCCTATAAATAAAAACACGCTTTAAGATAATTGAGAGAAACTTATTACCAGTTGGAGAGATAATAAGTAAAATGTAAAGGTTTAATTGGAGGGAATGAATTTCATGCTTTTAATTTATTATATATAATTAAAATTTAAAATTGGGTTGATAACAAATATTTTTAACTTATTTGTAAATTGTGAGTTTCACATAACCTTTTTAACAAACATACTTTTAGTTTCCTAGAAAATATGAGTTTCAAGTAATTTTTTAACAAATATAGCAAATATTTATTGCAGAAAGTGATGAGTAAAAAGTGTGTTAAATGTTAATTTAGTTTAAATTTAATATTCTGATTTCAAATTTGATTTTAAAAAAACAATGACCAAAGATATCTTTCAAGATAAGTAAGAATTAGTTTTTTTTTAAAATACTCTATAATAACTTTAAATTTATGAATCATATCCCGTTATTTTAGTATTTTTATGTGAATTGAATTCACTAAATAATTTATATTTTAATTTAAATAATGATCTTTACTAATAAAAGCGTTTAAAATTTATGTATTATTATCATAAATATAAACAAATAAACAATATAAAAGTAATATATTATTTATTACATAACTTATTTTAGCTTAACAAAATACAAATTGATGAATAAATGTTCTGAATCCGAAGCATGTGTCATGTCGTACGGATCCCACAAATAAGAAAATGACAGTCCTTCCGTACGTGTTTGTATAATTTCATACATCTTGGAGATTCTGTATCCATCAATTTTGTGAATCTAGTGGATCAATAATTGAGATGATAATTTTATCAAAAATAGGAGAGCTGAATTTTCAATTAAAAAATGATGGTGAAAAGGTTCAATGAATCGAAGATAAATGCTTACAGGCGCTTCATCTATGATGCAAACAGAAAGAAAGATGGTTCAATAAAATTAGAAGCAATTAGCGCAGCAAAGATGGAAGTGTAGAACATAAAAGCAATGACTTCTCATCACAAAGTATCTTAACCGTTTGCATTGCTAGGTGGAGTTTTCATGGAAATAGAAGACAAGAATATCACGGGGATGTTCTGATCTATATAGTACAGTAGTACTACTACAACCAATTGAAAGATTAAATTCTGAGAAATTGGAGTAGTTGGAGTATTTAATTGGGAAATAAAAAACACAACAAGCGACAAGCTAAGGGTAGAAAGAAACATTCTCATTTTGTTCAATCTTAGTTCCTCCTTCAGATCTCACCCTTCGTCTCTAATCTAACCTTTTTTTTAAAACTTAAAACTTCAGGAAGAAAAAAAAAGATGCCAACAATAATTCATATTCATAATTAGAAAACACAGGGAATGAGTTGTTCCCATCTCCCAACACTCAAACACAACCTCTCGGTGCAAATCCGACCCGCAAACCCGCCAGGTCGTACGAGACCCGGAATCCTTGCTGTTGGATGTTACCAATTATGGACAAACCGCTCATGGTTCCCGCAAAAGCGAAGCAGAAGCTCCCGCTATTATCCACCGGAATCAAGTAATTCGTAGCCGGAAGTGATACATCGGCACCGCGGAAATGTAACACCACCGTCGGCACCTTCACCTCAGTGAGCCCGGAAAGATCGAAACACGTGTCAAAGAGCGAGAACTCCGGTGCTCGCTTCAGGCGCGAGGCTCCGACGCGGAATGCATCCCGGAGAGCAATGTAGGCGGGCCGGGTCAACCGCGTGACAGACGTGCCCGAATCGATGATAACGCCGCCGTTTCCGGCGGCATCTAGGCGGAAGAGAGAGGCTGAGAGGCCACGTACCGGCGCACCACCGACACTGATCCCGAGAAGCTCCACGTAGTAGAAGGTGTCGAGCTTGGAGTTTTTGAGGAGAGGAGTGAACCGCGCTGTTCGGGAAACAGCGGAATCTCCAAAGACAACAGAAGACGGTTTGGCCGAGGCGGAACGGTCCACGAGGCAGTAAGAGAATTTCTGGTTGAACCGGCGTCCGGTCTGTACCGGAAACGATAACTTACCCTGACCCAGGCCCAATAAACCAGCGGCGCCTATGAAAAGCCCTTCGTTGTCGTGGCCACAGCCGAGAGCGACGCGCGTGACTCTCGTCCTTCGAAACGTCAGTGTTTCGGTGGAGAAATCGCCGACTGTGAAGGAACCATCGCCATAGGAAACCTGGTATTGGCAAACCTTGTTCTTGTTGCAACCGGGAGTGTCTAACCTGCGGCAGAGAGGGGCTCCACAGGGGATTCCGGCGTAGGTTTGGGATTTGGTGGGGTCAAAAACGGGGTCGGTTTGGGAGTAGCACTTGCGGCAAGGGGCGCATTGGAGCCACACGACGTCGCTACCGGTGTCCAAGACCATGTAGACATACCTAGCAGGAGTACCCACGCCAATACGCGTGAAGTACTCGCCGCTACCTTGTGCTAGACCCGATATGATGGAGCTACTGAAACCCGAGCCGGATCTGTGCGCGTGACTGGTGTTGAGGCCTGCAAGTGTGAGTAAGGATTCAACTCTTTTGGCGTCGCGTTGGAGCCTGAGGTGGAAGAGCTGCTCCGGGCTTTGGTCAGAGGAGAGTGCGTCTATATGGTGGAGGCTAAGGGAGAGAGCTTCTTCCGGGTCGGGTTCTGAAAGGTCTTCAGATTCGGGCCATGAGAGGGTGGGTGGATGGGGGAGGGAGTGGAGATGTAAGGTTTGAGTTTGGAGTTGAAAAGGGTGGGTGGTGGCGGCCGCGGAGAGCGACACAGAGAGGGCAAGGGCGAGAGACAGGAAGAGAAGACCTTTTGTGGTTTTTTTCTTCCCTTCCATGGCTGCAGCTGAGTGAGAGAGTGGGGAAAGGGGGAAGTGAATAAATAAATAATAAAGAGGGGAGGGGTGGGAAGGGAAAGGCGGTGGATTTACTGTTAGAGTTTAAGAAGTGACGCAGTCAATAATGAGGATGGTTGAGTTGGGTAGGCCAAGTTGCGCAAGACACCATCTTTATCCTTTCTTTCTTCCTCTTCTGCACTGCACAGTTCAGACTTCTTCACACTCATTTTGCTCTTGGTACACAACAATTCACACACTTCACTAAATTAATTATGGTAGTTCCTTACCATTAAATATGAGAGCACATTGTAATTGTAATTGATAAACAAATATTTGACATTGTAATTGACTTCATTTTTAGGCCAAGGACTCATAGTTTTGTTAAGAAATTTTAAATTCTATTTCTAAGATATCTATATTTTGATAGTAAGTTATATTGGACTGAGAAAACATGATAAAATCCTAAATTTTATTTTCATAATAAAATCAAATCTAACCTTTATGTTTTGTTTTAAGTATAACTCAAGGTAAGTGTTGTTTATCCTGCCAACAAGATATAAACTCAAAATACTTATTTAAAATATACCAGTTTACACAGCACCTGTCAATATATTTAGTGAACTGCAGGATGACTTGACTTTTGTGGTAAAGTTTACTTTAGAGGTTAGGGATCTAAATGATTTAGCCTAATTCCTATATTACCCTTATCAAAATGCTTTGTTTGATTAGTAATAGTTGAATCTTTAATAAAGCATAGTTAAAAGTTGTGATCAAGTATCAATTGGTAACTAAACAATAAGCTGTTCACCACAACACAAAGCACAATAATGCACCGATGTGAGTAGAATGTTCATATGTTGACCTATCGATATGTGGCCGGTGATTAAATGCAGAAAATTTCACCAATTATTCTCACAATGGCACATGGAATGTTACTTATAATCTAAGATGATAAGAACATTAAGAATACTTCTTCCGCATTTTCATGCTATTTTTATGCCAAAATATCACATATATTAATTAATAATTTTTAAAATAACGTCACTTTTTTTGTTCATGCAAAGATGAACACATATGAATTGTGAAATCCTATATCATCCCCTCATGCATACCCCTTAAAAGGATAGAAGAGTTTTGTTATAACAAAAAAATCTTTTATTAGTTATTAGTTATGATTTAGGTGAAAAATTGGATTATAATCTAATCTTAAAATTATTTTAAATTTGTCATTTTTAGATTTAGAATTATTATGTTAGGTAGGTGATCATGTTATTATATTTATTAAATATTTTAATTTTTATTATTTCAAATTTATGATGATGAGAGATAATAATTTTAAGTTTATGCTTGATTTTCATAGTGCCTTGAGGAAGAAGATCACGTTGTTACCTATGAATATTTGGATATCACATAATTCTTAATCTTAAGTCTTAGACATTGAAGTTCAAAATATGTCAAATGACTGTATTATTGTGTTATCCTTCAATTACAAGGTGAAACCTTTTATTCGGACACTACATAATATCTAACCTTAAATCTCGGACATTGAGGCATTGATAAGTTATTAAAAACGATATTATTTCAGTCACTCGGTCCAATTATTATACTAATAATCAAAATACGTTTCACATTGCATTTATAAGTAAAAAAGACTTACAAATTTGAATCATCATATCGAGATATTATCTACTCGGTCTAATTATTATACTAATAATCAAAATACGTTTCACATTGCATTTATAAGTAAAAAAGACTTAAAAATTTGAATCATCATATCGAGATATTATCTACTCAAAAAGTTATTATGTAGAGTCATGCAACCTTAAAAAATCATTATATAAAATCGTCTTCAAAATGTCATCATATAAATTTATTTAATCTTTAAATTTAAAACATAATAATTTTGTTATATATAAATATTTAAGTGCATGTCTTATTTATTAGTTTCCATCAAATAACAAATAATAATAATAAAAAATAAATAAATAATAATAATAACAAATATTAATAATATTAATATTAATAAATAATGAATGATAATAAATAAAAAATAACAGTAAATAATAATAATAATATATTAATTGAAGATAATTTTTTAGTAATTTTAATATACTAATTATTTTTTACCATTTAAACTGTGTTAAATAAAACGTTAAAAATTTTGAAGAAATAAATATTGTTGAAAAATATGAGAAGTTAAATAATATTTTTGAAAAATAAATCATAAATTAGATAAAACTAGTCCCTGCCCACTTGATAATTAATGTCTCACCACATCCAAGAGGTTCATTAAATAAAATATTTGTCTCAAGATCAACCTAAGTTTCTTAAAATATATTATTTAAATTCATTTCAAATGATAAGATGAGATCCTCCCATTTTATATTTTATCCTGGAAATGAAAATTAATCTCTCTCTTTTATATTGAGGTTACACCATTTTGATTGCTTCTTGCAAATGTACAAATAAAAAATCTATTATGAGATTTTTTTTTAAGTATATCCTTTGCTTATTATCTTCTCATACAGATATTTTTTTTTCTCTTTTTATATAATAGGAAATAATTTCCAAAGACAACACAAAAATTTTATAACAAAAATTCATTAAGACTTTGACTATGATTCAAGTAAGAAAAATCTGAGTATAACTTAAGCCTAAATTCTTTTTATATTATGTTATTATATTTATTACATATTTTGATTCTCACTTACCAAAATTTATATTAATAAATTGTAATTTTAAACCAAATCTTCAGAACCGCACTTAAAAGGAAAAAAACACCGTGACCGAACCGATCGGTCACACACGATACCATTTATTTGTATCCCACAGATTTAGACTTGTAAGGAAACTTAATCACAAACGCAATGAATGCATGAGAGGAGGACGTTTTATCGGATACTGAGGGATTTGGTTGTGTTTATGTTCTTGAGTTATTTGAAAGATGGGTAATAATTTATTGAATATAAGATGTGACAGTAAGTATATATATATATATATATATATATATATATATATATATATATATATATATATATATATTTATTATGTTTGAAATAATTATATTATGCTAAATAATTTTTTTATAAAAATAAATATTAAATAAGTTATTTCAAATGTGTATAATATAAGTTAAGAAACTCACCTAAATATTTTTAATGAAATATTAATATATGAAGAATATTGAAACACCTCTACTATCTATGTCTATATGTTTATGTTATCTTATTTTTATTAGTTGAAAATATAATATATTCTTATTAGTTTTATATATAATTTATTATGGACTATTTTGATTCCGTTTTAAATTCTTCTCATTTTAATTCACACTATTTAATTGTCTAGATGAATTATTTTGATGGAAAACTCTCTTTAAGTATTAAAGAAAAATATTTTTTCTATAATTATAACTTATTGTCATAATTAAGCTTCTAATTCAATCAAAATAAGTGGCAAAATATTGTACAACATGCAATGCAACCAACATACAAAATTAACTATATTGAGACAGTAACCCATAATCAGATAGAAAAATAAAAAGAAAATAGTTCTAATTAACATTTTTTTAAAACAATGTTTCAAAAATGAGTTTAAATGTTGGTTTATTGGTAATTTTGAAATAAAAAAATAGACGATTTATTATTAAGGATTACTTAAAACATTGATTTTAAAATCTAAAATAATATTTAGTGATAAAATTAAAAGATAAGATAAAATATGACATACCTTTCCATTAAATTAACTTAGTTATTTTTCTTTGTCCGACTCTCTTGTTTTTTCCTACATTCATATAATTTTTTATATTTTTTTTAAATATGTTATTGTTAGAAGATATAATAAAAAATAATAATAAATGATGAGCTCGAATATATTGACAATGAATCTTTAGAATTTATTATACTGAGCTCTGCTTTGTATTAAAAAAAAACCCTATGAAGATACTCAAATATTTAATAATCAGAATAAAAATATGAATATCATAATAAAAAATAATATTATTATATATTATTATCATATATTAATATAACAATATTTCTGTTAAACATAATAAATATAATAAATTTAGAAACTCAACCAAGTAAAATATATATTTATACAAATTATAATTTTATAATTAAAAATTATTATAATATTATGAAAATTTAGAATTTTCTTTATTACTGCTATTGTATAAAGTTTTGAAATATTTTATATTTGTAATAATTATTTAGTAAATGATATGTAAATATATTATTAATAAAATCTACATAAAATAAATTTTCACAATAACTTATTGAGCCAGATAATATAGTTATCCTCATTAAAATAAAACTTAAACAAAATTCACTGAATTTTTATTTTTTTTATTGGAAACCTGATACTATAACATAGTATGAACAATTAAAACTCTCGTGTTTGGTGCCAAGTGGCCATACAGACAAACAAAAAAGAAGATGGTGGTGAAATGATAAAGAAAGAAAAAAGAAGGAACCCATCTCCTTCACAATACCCACGAGGAGCCTCTCTCCATCAAGACCCACGGGAAACCTATCTCCTTGAAACAATGAAGAACCCATTCCTCTTTCACCCAAAACCACGAGAAGAGGAGAAAAAGGAGGAAAGAGAAGATAGGTCAAGACTTGAAGATATAGGTAAGGATTACAGTATTTAAATGCTGATGCATATGAGTTGCTTCTAAATGATGTTCTTGTCCCAGTGTTTCATTCAATAGGACTTATTTCATCTGGAGTAGTGTTGCAGGTGGTTGGTTTTGCAGCTGTTATGCATTTTTAGCTTGATAATGGATTTGACTAATCATCTTGCAAAAATAATTGGGACGACTGTAATTTGAATTATAGTATAAAGAATGTTGTTTATCTGTCAGTGGATGCAAATGGAAGATTGGGTAAATGGTGTCACAAAAGATGGTGTAGTACATAATTTGACAGAAGTACTGATTAGTTATTTTCTGTGCTGAAAGAATCCCGCGTCATGTTATGATAAATGAATTCAGGGGATATGCAGTTTAGACTATAATACGATCTGTGATATTAGACAAATGAATTGGGTGCCAACGTTTAGCATAAAGTATGTATCATTTGTTGATTTCAGGTAGCATATCACGGGAACTTTTTGTTTTTGTAAGTTTTTGTATGCTTGCTTTTGTGTCCTCATATCTCTCTATATCTTGGGAAACTAGCAAGTGTGTTGTGTTCAATCTTTATTTAGAGGATTTTGTAATAGCTAATAGTGTATTGTCAATGACTATTACGTCATTTATTCAACTAATAATTTTTATTTAGTTGAAAGGAGACTATTGTCTCTATATGAGTTAACAATACATATGCTTTTCTACTCTGGTTTGACTGCATATTATCTCATGAAGCTATTTCATTGAGAAACCACTCTTGTGTCTACAAGGAACATTTTTCCCGTTAAAATAATGTTTGTTAATTAATGTTTTGACGGAATTCAGTTGGTATTAGATGTGATGTTTTGCTTGAATTGTCACCCATTTCTAGATTTGCTTTTCCCATCCTTATAGTGTAGCTTTCATAGACAAAATATTCATGATTCTGATCTTGTCACGGAAGAACATCTAATTGGTAATGTAGCCTTACGCTTACTATGCAATAAGCTCATAAAAAACTAGGACACTATCAACTACCCCAATTTCTTACCTCTTAATTGATCTATTAATTCTTTTGCTCAAACCAAAGTAATAAAAATATTCACCGAGCTTGTCTGTTTACAACTTACCCACTATAGCTTCTTGCTTGTCTTGCTAGGCGTGGTTTAAAGCTACAATTGACTGAAGAAAATTTTCTGAGCATAAGATTGTGTTGGTTGGTTTTCTATAGAAGGGGTATATATTGCCAATTAGTACAGAGGAATTTCCCCTTCTTTTACCTTCTATACGATAGATTGTGATATTTAGTTAAAATTGCTGATGTGGCTAATTGTTAGAGAAGACAATTTTTTTGAAAAAAAAATTACCATGTTTTTGAATTAATAACAACTTCTAAAAAAAAAACAAGCATAATGAAATAAAAAAAGAGAGGTTAAAATCTAAATTTAGACGTGACAAAGCAAAACAATCTTGTCCCAAGGAAATAATCCTAATTTTAAGTTATAGCAGGGAAAGTTTGATGGTGGTGGAAGTATAACACTAAACATAGTATTCAGCAAAAAGGCAAAACTCATCTAAGCCACACACACATATACATTCCTTCTGTTTTCCTGTATAAAGTTCTGTCTCTTTTTCCCTTTCTTTTCATCCATTCTCAATAAAGAACATTGTTTTTTCTTCTTCTTGTCACTGTCTCATCGACTCCGCTTCCTGGTTTTGGTAGCACCCTTCATTTTCAGATGAATACAACTGGGTGATCGAACTTGAAAGACGTCGATCTGGATACTAAAACCGTATCATGGAGGTTGAGAGGATGAGGCAGTTGATGCTCCTGTGCTGCAAAATACGAAATAACCGTGTTACTTTTATGGGTGGAAATCATACCGCTGCCAGGTTTTGCAGTCGCTGAGATTCTCTCTTTTCTAGGTTGTTATCGTTGTTAGTGTTTCTCCTTCTCTTTGCAATAACAACGCAACTGGGTCATCTTCATTTTGAACGATTGACTCAATCACTATCTTACTATTTCTCATAAAAATCTCATTTTGCTCCGATGGAAATCGTGAAGGGGCATTTGCACAACGGAAGAAAAACTACTCTCAAACCCCAAACTTTCCTAGTTGCTAGTATTCCTAATGCACTAGTGTTACGCATTTTGTCTCGTTCCTTGTTCTTCGTCATGGTCTTTGCCTCCTTGTCTTTCATGAGAATTGCTTACAAAGGTTTCTATTCTTCGATGACTTTTGTTCCCACTTCTGAGCCCGCTGCATATGGCTCTCTCGATGTGGGACTACTGAATTTGATGCTCAATGATTTTTCCACTAAGGGTCTCTTCAAAGATAACGGCAAGACACTCCTTGTCAACTCTCCCGTTCCTAATGGCTTAGACAAAAATATTCATATACTCGTGAACTCTAATTCAGAGAGAAAGAGGTTGTTGGCGGATGAGTCTTATGATTTTGTGTTCACATATGATGTTACTGATGCCGAGTTTATTGACCGCATTCTTAAAATTGACGGCATTGTGGCTTTCCCCTTGGGAGCTAGACCCTCAAATTATGCTTTCAGAGAACATACTAATTACAAAGTTGTTTACATTAAGCGATATGGTTTTGTAATTGTTGTGTTGAAGAAAACTGGGCCAGCTATCAGGTTGGGAGATTCTGACTCTTCCCCTAAAAGGAAGCTTTTGGCCGTAGAGACAGAGGTCATGAGCAAGACAGTGGCATTGAACGGTCTTGAAGATGTTCATTTGGAGCCACCGAGAAAGACTTTGGTTCAATCGAGAAATTACTTGAACAATATAAAGTATCTACCTGACCTGTTGGGTGATTCTCTTGAAGGATACAGTCGCAGAGTGTTCATTAGTGTAGGCTTACCCGAGGAGAACGAAAGTGTGATGGATTGGTTCAAAACGAACTACCCCACGAAGAATACAAATTTTGAGACGCTCAGCCTCGTGGCTTCTCCGAAAAACCATTTTGATGTTTCCGCTTGGTTATCTGAGAATGTGGAGGAGGAAGAGTACGTTGTGATGAAGGCAGAAGCAGATGTTGTTGAGGAGATGATGAAGAAGAGGACAATAGGTTTGGTGGATGAACTCTTCCTAGAGTGTAAGAACAATTGGTGGCAGACGGAGGAGAGAATGGATAATAATAATAATAATAATAATAATAATAATAATAATAATAATAATGGAAGAGCTTATTGGGAGTGTTTGGCTCTGTATGGAAGGGTAAGGGATGAAGGAGTTGCGGTGCATCAATGGTGGGGTTATTGAATATCGAATGTTGAAGCTTTTAGTTAGCTTGGTGTTTCTGTGATGCGCTCTGCAGCTTCTTAATTACTTTGGTTCTCTATTATTATCTCTTGTGTGTTTAATTTCCAGTGATTATTGGTGATGCACGGACATTTCACTTTGTCTAACACTTATTAGACACCTCCTTATATGTCACATGTTGTTGTTTGCGTAGGTTGGTTTTTCTTTTATTTTTTGTTGTTGAAAGAAAACGAAAACTAAAGTTGTGGGAAATCTAAAGCTCGATTACGTGTTGTCTTCTTTGCGTGCTCACATTCTCCATTCCTCACGTCTTTTTCGCCTTCGTTTCCCATGACGATTTTGTCGGTTATTTGTGTTGTTGACAATCTTGGACGTACCCTCCTTTATTTGGTGTGAATCCGATGGAGCTTCTTCCCTTCTCTAGTGTGAGACTTGTGGCGGTATTCCATAATCTCTGGTTTGAAAATCTTTGTGTTTCTCCGTTCTCCAGTGTAAGCACTTATTCCCTTTTTATTAGGGTTATCCATTATGTTCCATTTATTGTTCCAAGTGTTTATTTTTTTACTTGTTATGTAGTTTCGGGGCTTTGGATGGGTTTGTGTTAGTGAGAAGTGACGATGTTCATCATTTTAATTAATGTAGTTACTTATGTTTTATTTTTTATTTTAAAAATATTTACTAAATTTATTATTTTACTTCATGTATTTGTTAAATTTGTTTGTTGTCTCATTTGAATATTTTTAGAGAAAAATCTTATCGAATGACTTAATTACTTTTGATTTACATAACTCTGTTATAATATTTATTTATTTAGTAATGAATTTTATATTTACTCCAAATCAATTCTAATACATTTGCATCAATACTTTTGTCTTTTGGTTTGCTATATATCTTATTCTTTGGTTCCTACCACTTGAAATTATAAATTCTTCATATAGCTACAATTGGTATGGTCAAGTTGTGAAATAGAAGACAAATTTCTAGGCTTAAGGTTGAGTGACTAGCAGAGAAAAAATTACGATTTTAAATAATTTTTAGTTTAGTAAGTTCTAAATAAAATAAAATGGAGTTTTGATTAACAATATCAAAATATTATCCTATAGCTAAACTTTATTTCAACGAAATAAAATTTATCATAATATGAAATTTTATGAGTATATAGCTCCTTTTCAGTATTTTAATTTTTTACACAAGGTGGTAAGGTGGTTGGATTGTCATTCAATTCAAGAATAATAGAACATCCCTCTTATATGTTTTATAATTGACATTTAGCAAGATTTTCTCTAAGCAACTTTTTATTAGTTTAAAGTTTGTGTAAAGTTCCAAAATTTATCTGAATTTGTAATTTAACTTTCAACTCTTATATGTAGGTAATAAAAGGCAAAACTAGAAATGTGAGATGACATGACATGAAACCATTGTTGATAATGTATGTGTGAGGTGTTGCATCATCTAAGAGGAGGATTATTCTTCTGTATGAAGATTGTCTGTTGCTGGACACACACATTTATTTGTTGAAGTCGTTCGGCAAGCTCTAGGCGCAATCTGATATTTCTGTTAGTTAGGGGTTAGTTATTGTTTATTGACTATCTCTTTTGAACCTAATGTTGTATATGGGTTCTTCTCTCACTAACAGAGTGTGAAATGTTTGTAATTCTTAAGAGTGCTTGTTGTGATTATCTAAGTGAAGCATTTGCCATTATAGTATAATGTTGATTTGGAAGTTTTGTAATCGTCCAAACGTAATCGACCATCAATAGACGAATTTTTATCTCTCTATTTTTATGTTTTTTTTTTTTCCTTTTCGTGTGCGTTGTTTCTTCTCTCGACGACATCATTAGATGCAAATGACCTATATATTAAGACAAGTAAATCAAAATTACACTAAGAGATTTAAGATTAAAATTATCAAAATGAGTGATCCATTCAACATACTAATTTATATTTTAAAATAAATCTTATTTTTTAGTCTAACATGTCAATAAGCCCATTTTAGCTGAATGTACATGTAAAACCATGGTTATTAAAACCGTTCATAAAAGGTAAATACAAGAGTTTAAAGTTGAATGATTCAATCGAGATTTGAAAATTGAATTCAATTTAACTGTTTAATAAAATAATATTTTAATAATATAATAAACTTCAAATAAATCATTACGTGATAATAATAATTTTAATTTAATATAAATATTATTTGAAAAAATATATGTAATAATAAAAATAATTTATAAAATATATAAAGAAAAATAATATTAATAAATATATTATTAAACACTTTAAATATAAAGTAATTAAAAAAATGTTATTATACCTAATTTTATAAAATATATAAAGAAAAATAATATTAATAAATATATTATTAAACACTTTAAATATAAAGTAATTAAAAAAAATGTTATTATACCTAATTTAAAAATAATTAAGAAAGAAAGAAAAACTATAAATAACTTGCAAATAATTAGGAAAAAACTATACCTTGAAAACAATTAAGAGAAAAATTGCATCATATCTACTATTGCTTCTAACTTTAAATTTTATACATTTTATTTTATTTACATAACTCATTGGTTACTCTTACTTATCAAATTAATCTTCAAAATTAAGAGATTGTGATTCTTACATGTTATTGTATTTTCATGAATAATTGTAATGATGATAATAGTAGACAATGACGACAATAAGAGTGACTCCAGAATGAAACAATCAAAAGTAGTGAATGATGATAACGATGACGAGTTGTAATAAAAGAAGAATACCACTATCAATAAAAAAATAACTTTCTCTCCGTCACGTTTTTGTGCCTCTATATTAAACTAAAGAAAGAAAAAAACAATATAAGACAAAACAACATCATTTATCTCTTTTTTTTTATATAAAAAAAACGGGGTGATCTCTTGACTTGTCCGATTTTTAACCAGTTTATCTAATTTATGATTGATTTATTATTTGTTCGATTTTTAGGGAGCTCCAAACCATTTATCACTTTGATTCCTGGTTCAACAGATTAAATCGCTTGATCCAATTTTGATAACAAATATTAAACACATATCAAATTAAAGGGTTTAATGTACATTCACAATCCCTTACTAATTGGAAGATATTTGAATAAATATTTCAAATCATCCCAAATATCCATGTAAGAAAAATATTTATTAAATCTCAAAAAATTATGAACATTATAACTTTATTATTTATCTCTCAAATTATATTTTTTTCTACTGTTCTTTATGAAAAATTAAATGTTTGCAAAAATTGGTTAATGTTTTGACCGTAAAAAATTTAGGGAATGGTTAATCCAATGTATATATGTAGTCAATAGTAATATATCATGGTTAACAATAAATATTCAAAATTTATAATTCATCAAATGTGGTTGAGTTTTCATGACTTTAACGTTTTTTTGTTAGATTAATGAGTATATAACATAGTACCCACTTATTTTGCTTTTAAGTTTATTGTTGTATAGTCAAATAAGAGTCATTATGCTTCGTAGAAAGTTTTATTAGACCCCATAAAGGTAAGAGTGAAGGTCTTGTTGGTTGAGTGAGAGACTTTTCTCATAACAAATAACGTATAAAATTAAGTGATTAAAGATATATTTAGCAAATAATAAGGGTGTTTTATTATTATTATTAAGGTTTAATATAATTGTTGAACCATGATTCTTTAAAAGGTTATTCTTATAGATAAGGTGACTCTCTTACTGATATGAATCTCAATAGCACAAGGAATGATTTAGGGTTAGAATTATGTAGAAAATTTAAGAATTTAGTGATAAGGTGGAAGGAAAGAATCACTCTTTCCAAGGGAGGTAACTCCCAAAGGATGTGAAAGTCCTTTTGATACAACCAATCGATATTGAATCACTCAAGAATTTAGGAGAATCACTTTCACTAAGATAAAAGAGTTAAACTCTAATATTTTTAAATAAAATTCAACTTGTTATATTTGATAAAAATATGGTTCAGCCTATATAGAAGTTTTGCTATCAGAAGTACAAAGATTTAATAAAGGAAAATAAATGTTAATAATGATTCATTAACTTAGGAATTGAAAACTACTTAATAGAGACAAATAAAGACTAATAATGATCCATTAACCTAGGAATTAATACTACTTAATAACTAATTGTAACTGAAATTGTGGCAACCAAAAGTCAATTAGCTATGCAATAAAACCAAACTAAAGCCCATTAATTGATTAATCCAAAACACAATTTGGTCAACCAACAATAGAGTTTCCTTTGTCCTAGCCCTTGTCATAGGTTATGTCCACATCATTCTTTCCCTCTTGATAAGGATTTGTCCTCAAATCGGATTCGTCATCTACATAAAAAAGAGATAAGTCTGACAAATTGGATGTAGAACTAACATTATATTCACTTTTGTGGCGAAATAGCTCTCTCACTTTAAGTATTTCACTTTTCTTTTGATCACTTTTTTTCTTCTCAAGTGTTTCAGTAACAATTTCTTTTTCTCTCTTCTCTTGATGAATTTTTTCTCTCATTTTCTTTTTATCCTCACACACTTCTTGTGGACTCAAAGGTTTGAGTACAATCTTGTCTTGGTGCATGAAAGAGATCTTGTTCGTGAACCCGTTATGATGGACTCTTTTATCAAATTGTTACGGTCTCCCCAAAAGTAAGTGACTGGCCTCCATAGGAGCAATATAACAAAGTACCTTATCATTGTATTTTTCAATAGAAATGTTCACTTCAACTTGCTTCCTCACTTGTACCTCTCCATCCTTACTAAGCCATTGATGTTTATAAGGTTTAGAATGTTGTTTAGTAGGTAAATTTAGCTTTGACACTAATCTAGCACTAGCCACATTGGTGCAACTACCTCCATCTATGCTCATCATGTATATCTTGTCATTGATTAAACATCTAGTGTGTAAAATGTTTTTTCTTTGACTTTCTTCCATAGACTTCAATTGACCATCAAGTAATTGCCTATTCATCAACAATAAATCTCCGTTTGGAATCTCCTCCTCCTCTATGCCCTCACTCTCCTTTCCCTTTTCAGCCTTAGATTCACTTATATATTCTCTCTCTAAGAATCATATACCTTTTGTTAGGGCACTCATAAGCATAGTGTCCTAGGCCTTGATATTTGAAACACTTTACATCTATACTTCTTTTAGAATGTTGTTCTTCAAACTTTAAAGGAGTCTTTGTAGGAATAGGGGTGAAACTACTAGAAGTAACAATCCCATCTTTCTTGTCTTTGTCCTTCCAACTTGAAGATCCAAAGTTAGTAGAAATTTTCTCAGCCACTTCTTTTCTTTTGAGTTGTTGCTCCACTCGAATTGCTTTATGAAGTAAATCATCTATATCAAAAAACTCCTACAAATCAACAATATCACGTATATCAATATTCAAACCACCAATAAATCGGGTCATAGTTACCTCTTTATATTTTTCAATCTTTGCTTGAATCATGAACTTGTCCATTTTCTTGAAATACTCCTTAACCCCCTTGTTGTCTTGAGTAAGTTTTTGAAGTTTAAATTTCAAGTCCCTTGAATAACTAGCTGACACATACTGCTTCCTTATGGTCATTTTGATCTCAGTCCATATATCAACCATTGACTCTTCATTTCTACCTCTCTCCTTTTGTAGCTTGTTCCACCAAGAGCATAGTAAAAAAATTTTGTGATTGCAAGCCTCACCTTTTGGGTCTCTTCATAACTATTGCATGAGAAAACATGCTCTATTTTCATCTCCCACTCTAAGTATGCCTCCAAATAACTTTTTCCTTGGAACGGAGGAATGTTAAGCTTGACTCCTTTCAACCTACTTGGTCTTGCTACTCCATCATTTCTTCTCCTATTTCTCCTTTCTTCTTCATCTTCGGGATCTCTATTCTCCAACCAGTTCAACCTTTCATGGAGCTCATTGTTATGTCGTATCATTAATCCTTCCAAATGTTGTACCAATGCTCTCATTTGAAATGGACTAATTCCTGCTTCTTGATTGTAATTTTCCTCCTCTGCCATCAATTTGATGTTTAAACCTTTAAATTGGGGCTCTGAATACCAACTGATCTGAATCTCAATAGTACAAGGGATGATTTAGGATCTTTAGGGTTAGAACCTTCTAGGAAATTAAAGAATTTAGTGATAAGGTGGAAGGAAAGAATTACTCTTCTTAAGGGAGGCAACTCACAAAGGATGTGAAAATCTTTTGATACAATCAAGTGTTCTTGAATCACTCAAGACTTTTTAAACTCTAATATTTTTAAATAAAATTCAACTTGTTATATTCAATAAAAATATGCTTTGCCAAATAAAGATTCATTAAAGAAAAATAAATGTTAATAATGATTCATTAACCTAAGAATTGAAAACTACTTAATATAGACAAATAAAGACAAATAATGATCCATTAACCTAGGAATTGATACTACTTAATGATTGATTGTAACTAAAATTGTGATAATCAAAAGTCAATCAACTATGCATCCTCTTGGTCTCCCAAAGACTGATGATTAAGTTTTCAATTGGGGCCTTATTACAACTTGTAATAAATTCAAACTAAAGTCTTAATCCAAAACACAATTTGGTCAACCAACAATATTTGTTGAAGAACTTCCTTTGCTTCCTTGCCTTAGTCCTTGTCATAGGTCTTGTTCATATCATTTCCATCAATTTGAGGGGGAAACATTTAGAGATAAGGTGCCTTATCTAATTGTTAGTTATGATAGAAATAATTTCCTTTAAAATCTTAGGGTTGGGTTTATATTTCAATTATATATATTATGTACAAATGCTAGTCATATTTTAGGAATATGTTTGTCAAATTATGAAAAAGCCTTGTATATTTAATTGATACAAAACAATGCAATGTTTCACTTCAATTCCTATGACATTTTAAAGCTACACTTGAACCGTGAAACAAACTACGGTGTTTAAAATGTGGCCAAAAGTCCAGGTCAACGCATGCATCCTCGCGATTTAAAAAGTTGGTGCACTGCGTGTTCCTTGCCAAATCGCGATCGAACAAACAATTTCATTCCCCCACTCGAGCGGTCAATTTCTCATTCACAATTTCTTATTTATTTAATTTCTTTATTTGCCTCTATTTTGGTGGAGTATTCGATTCATTTAGGTGATTATTGTAAAGCAATTCATTTGGTGTGTTTCTTAGTTATTTGATTTTACTTTTTTCTTGTTTTCACCAGATCTCGAAAGTAAGAGATATGATTGATGATGAAGCCTTGGGAGACATTGCCAACTTTCTTGGCATCTTGATTTTTGCTCTGGTTATAGCTTATCACTTAGTCACGGCAGACCCAAAATATGAAGCCAGCTGAGATATGTACTTTAAATTTTATTTATGATATGTATTCATTTTTTTTTATTGAAGGTTCTGTCATAGATTCATATGTATTACTTATTGACGAGACTAGAATTTGATTGAGGCTTATACTGGCTGAATCTTCACTGTTTTACAGTCTAATGTTAACCATGGTGTTTTGGTATATTTACGGATGCCTAATTGTACAATGCGCATGGAATTGTTTAAATTAACTATTCAGAATATGAATTGTTGCTTGACCCTTATTCATTATTTCCCCTGTTACACCAAAATATAGAGGAAAAATAAATCGTAATGCAACAGAACAGACATCTTACTCCAGAAAAAGGGAAACGTTATGATATGATATAATGCTCCATTACACGGTGCTACATGGCATAGTTCATTCAATCAAAGGAGAGCAAACTTAGTAACTGAACATGATGAGAATTGAAAGCTTGTGCGTGTATCTGCTACGAAGCATGTATACGTTATAGAAACATTGATTATGCTACATGTATCTTCTACGGAGCATGTATATGTTGTAGAAACTAGCTAGTCAAGGACAGGTAATTGTGGGAGGAACTGGTCAGAAGGGTGGAAGTGGGGGAATGGAGGGTGAAGGCAACCTATACTCTGGCAACTTCTCTACTGACTTGGACATTGCCAATGGACAAAAGTGACAAAGCAACGAGGAAGAAAGACAAGAGAAGCACACCGAAAGAGGCCATATCAGTAGTAGTATATGGTTTGGATCAGTAAGTAGAAAAAAATGGATACTAGCAGCTAGCCTTAAGCTTTTATAGTGCCCCTTAGAAGAAGGATTCACCTCAAAGAACGGTGTGTTACGTGTGAAGTTACACCACATCAACATCGGTTTTAAATGCCATCAAATGTTGGGAGAACACTTCTCTCTTACTTTGACTACGGTATGTTGATATAGATGCAAACATGACCACTTCTTGTTCTTTAATGGTGTTTTATCTTTCAGTTAGCCATCATTTTCATGGGGTTAAATTGGTATGAAGATGATATTTCCAAGGATTGTTTGCGAACTGTATGACTCATCTGTGGGGAGGGGAGGGGCTTCTTGTTAGAGAGCAAGTAGCACTAAAATGTTCTACATTGGATAGAATGTATAAATTGTTCAACATACTTACGAGAAACTAAGAATGACCACAACTTACATTATTTTCCAGTTTGCAAGAAGTTGAACGTAAATTTACAGAAGCAATTCCTTTTGTATCTTTAAACTCAATGTAGATCAGAGGATGGAGAACGGTTTCCTGAACATAGGTTTATAGTATGTTTGCTTCCGTGGTGATGTGAATTTTCATATCTAATAATTGAAAGCCAATAGCTTAAGCCTCTGCATTTTTTAAGAGAATTGGGGTGATTTCTTTTAGTTTAATGTTTTTAAATTTGGGTTGGATGAAGTGCAGATAGATTTACCTGTGTGGTTCTGATAGATGATGTACTTCATGCATTTTAATGGTGTTCTATCTTTCGTTTAGCCATTTTGTTTTCCGTGGTGGGAGGGGAAGGATAATCTGAAAGTTAGAGTTTCAGAGGAGAAAAAGATGACCGATTTTTTTTTTCTATTCTTGTCTTTACTTCAACATTAGATGAAATTAAAGAGAAGGGAACAATGATTATATCTCATGAATTATATAAATTAAATTTTGTTATGTTATTTTACATCTCATCTCCGTTATACTTAATAATAAGAATAAACGAGTATATTATTTGTAGTTTTACCTTTCTTCATCAACTAAATAATGTGAGATTTTTACCTATTGCCTAAATTTAAAAGTAGTGAGCTTTTAAATTTTTACCTCTTCGGAGCTAATTGAGTCCTAAGAATATGTCCGGTTCAAGCAGAAAAAGAAAGTAGTAAGCTTCTACTTATCAAGTAGAAAACCACACACAAAAAAGCTTCACTTAATAAAGTTTTATTACATAAATACTTTAACTTAAGTATTTATCCAAATGTTTTGAAAGTACCCTCTAAAAATGGAGCCTCGTGTTTGTATTTTATCAAATTATGTTACGTTTCGAATACAAGTTACTCTAATGGAGCTGATCGACTTGGAAAAGCAATGCTACGTGCATATATTTCTATAATGTAACTCGAGAATTATTTTCTTACAACATGTATCTTAAAAATGTAGATGATGTCCAAGTACATGGAGCAACAAGGGAATAATAATCCTATCCTATGTATACAACAAGATCGAAGAACAGAGGAAAATGAAAGATAAAACACACACAGACACATTCCCAAGCTATAAAGGAACAATGTATAATGTCATGATCACATATGTGGATCAAACAACAGGAAATGAGGCTACTGATGACTGAAACACAAAACTAAGCTCCAAGGGTGAGCGCTTGCCCACATAAGCAGTGTCGCTTCGTTCAGGGAGTGGTGGCTGAAGGTGGTGGTGACAAGAAGGGGATAGTGGTTGGGATTGTGGGGAGGTTTGGAAGTGGCGGAAGAGTGAGCTGTGGGACAGTTGGCATGGTAGGAAGAGATGGTTGTGGCAGAGATGGGATTGTAGGCAAAGGTGGAACATTGCCCTGAGGCTGCTGAGGCACTGTTGGGATTGAAGGCAATGGTGGAACATTACCCTGACCCTGAGGTATGGTTGGAAGAGAAGGCAAAGGTGGCAATGTTGGTTTAGGCAAAGAGGGAATGCCTGGAAAATTTGGTGCAGTTGTTTGCATAAGATGGCGAGCTGCGAGGCTCATGTTCATCATGCCTGAGAAAGTCAGAGCAAGTAGGAAACCTGTGATGAATGATTTGTTTGAGGCCATAGTTGACTGGATTGCAATAATGAAGAAAAGGATTTGCTAAATATGAAAATGGTATGTATTGTGTTTAGATTGTATCAGAGGCTGAATAATATAGGTCTTGGTCTCATATAGAGCTAGAGAGACACTGGGCAAACTAGTATGGTTTCAGTTCAACTTTGTTTGTTGAAGCAAATAGAGCCATACCAATGTTAGTTCACCTTCCTCCTATATTTGAATAAATAGTAATTTTATATGTTGGTTTAATAAGGTTGTTGGGAATTATTTAGTAATAGCCCCCAATTTGTCAAATGTAGGATGATCAACTCATACATATTTTGGGGTTGGAAAAGGGAGAATAGCCAAGAGTTGAGTTGGTTCAGCTAACTTTGTTCATCTCAGCTGCCAGACGTCACCCTTTACACCCAATGGCTTCTCACACACTCGCACTTCAGACAAACCCAGTCATACCAAGGGAGAAGGCAAGCTGTACTCATGTCATGTTGGTGCAATAAGTTTTCTACTGGATTGAACATTTCCATTGTCAGAAGTGACAAAGCAACGAAGAAGAAAGATAAGAGAAGCTTACAGAAGGAGCCCATTTCAACAATAAAAGCTGAATCAGTAAGTAGATAGTACGTATATTAGCATCTAGCTAGACTGGAACTAGCAAAAGTATACGAGGATTCGTGATGATGATACCTGGAACTGTCCATGGGTTTCACAGTGCACTTTAAAAGAATAATTCACCTTAAGGACTCATAGGAATATTTAAGATTTTATGTATGTATATTTTTAAGATTTTATGTATGTATATTTTGTATATGTGTTATATATTTCATATATATTTTATTAATATTTTTATTTATATACAGAGGAAAATATGATAAAATATTAAATTATAATAATATCTTAATTATAATTGCTTAAATTAAAATAATAGTTTAATATTTTTTTAAATATTAAAGTATTTTATTTTTTTCATTAAAATATTTCTTTTTTTATCAATTTTATTTTATTTTTCTTTCAAACATCATGATAATATTGTTAACTCTTTTATTAATGTTGGAAATAGTTTCTTTGTTCACATATTTATTTTTCTCTCTAACATCAAATTTCTTCCATAAATATTTATCAAGTTTTTTTTTCTTTTATACCCTCATTTATAGTTAAACGATATCTTATAACTTTTTTTCAATAGTTAAGTAACACTTAACAAATTATGGTTAATATCATAAACATATAAAACATCAAAAAATAATTTGCTACCCGAATGACTTTATTGCATTTATTCCCGATCATGAGTCATGTGATTTGTACAATCACTGTCTATAAGTCAACCTATGAATTTGTTGATTGTAGAACATGTTCACGTAATGAGAAGTACACCTTCTATTTCATCCTCTATAATCTTGACGACTTCTTTTAGTTGTGATTTGCATATTTTTTTTATAGGTCTCAGTTGATCATATTTGTGACATTTCGTACCAGGTCCCACCAACACTTGTTGTGTGGGTGATTGTTTTTCTTGCAACAAGGACATGTGATTTGGTACCTTTGTTGTTTTTAACTTGGAGAAAACCTTCACCATGATACAATAATGGTAGCATGATCTCCTTTCATCAATCTTATTTCATCTTGCTTGTAAAACATATAACATTTTTGTCAAAGTAACATTAGATAACTTTTTTGTATTTTCCAATAAAGCAATAAATGCTTCATATTTCTTTGACACAGTTACCAAAAATTTCTCAATAATTCTAAAATCAAGAAATTTCTTACCTAACAGTTTTATCTTGTTAGTAATACCCAACAATTTATTTGAGTATTCATAACTCTTGCATCTTTTGTATCTCAAATTTTCTTATCAAGTTTAGAACTTTCATACCTCAAATTTTCTCATCCTCTTCATATTGATCTTTCAAATAATCCCAAATTTCTTTAGGTGACTTTAACGTTATGATTTTAGTAAGGATCATTTGTGAAACATTGATAAACAAATATAATTTAGCTTTTATCTTCCTCATTTTTCTTTTTTTATGAAATTTCATTTAAACTATAATAAAATTTTCAAACAATGAGTTAATAATATATTTTATTTATATATACATGAAATTGTTAATGAGATTTCATAATGCATTTTAGAAGAAGAATTTACCTTATAAAAATTTTCAAAGTTTTATATATATATATATATATATATATATTCTGATATGTAGTATATATTTTATTGATGTCTTTTATATATATATATATATATATATATAAAACAAAATATCAAATCATAATATTATTTCAATCATAATTATTTAAATTAAAATAATAATATAATATTTTTTTAAAATAATAAAAAAATGTTAATACCTAATTTAAATAAAAAAAAATATTTTGAAGAAAAAATTCTTGTTGATTTGGGTTTTAAATGGAATCAAATGTTGCTACTGCATGCGTTACTCTCGAACTCTTCGTACTTCGTCGTACATAGATGCAAAAGTTAACCAGTTGGTTTAAAGGTGTTCTATCTTTTCAGTTGATCTGCTTTTCCAAGAGGGATTATTCTCAATTGCAAAAATGTTTAATGTGAAGGGCGTGATTCTTTAAGCACCTTTTTTTTTTTTTTTTTTTTATAACTCCTAATGTTGTTTGGTTTAATAAATATCATATTTACACACGTTCATTTCAATTCACTTGTATTTTTTTTTATCTTTATAATTAATTTCTCTCAAACAATCTAAAAATATAAAAAAATACTTGTAATCATAATTTAAAATATATTTGTAAATTGATTTTAAATAATAATATAATTGAATTTATATGTTGACAAATATATATTTAAAATAAAATAAATTCTTTAATATATTTTAATACAATAAATTTCCAAATCTGATAAAATATTTAAAACTCAATCTTTTAAGATTGAAATTTTTGATAAATTTTAAATATAATATAATAATATTTTTTATTAATCTAAAAAATAAAAAAATAAAATTATCCATAACTTTTTTTAATAAATCATTAATACTTATACTTAAAATTTATAAAGATGAGAATTCTAATAAATTGTAATCTTAGTCATATTTTCAACAAAACTTTAAATTTTTTTAATAAACAAAAAACAATTTATTGCTAAAAATTGAATGATTTTTCTGTGCTTTTTAAATTATATTTTTTTCTAAGTAGTATTTGAATATTAATAAATAAATAATCTTTAAAAAAATATCTTTTATTTTAAACAAATTTGTATATATTATTGTTTAAATGGAACTTAGTCCTTATATATTATAGGTTAAATGGAATAATAATAATAATAATAATAATAATAATAATAATAATAATAATAATTTTGTGTTGAAATTATATTATATGATAAAATTTTAAATTATTATTACTATAAAAAGAAATAGATTGTGAATTTATTGTATCTTAAACCATCAGATGTGAACAACTGTCAAACATCCAATCTATGACTGCTTTTAATATTGTAATAATATTAATTTTAAATTATTTTTATTGTTATTAAATCTCTTTTGTAATTATTATATTAATAAAGTGAGTTGTTTGTGAATATATGAGGGTTGATTTGCTAATATTAGCTGTGGAAGTTGAAAGTATCGTTTGGAAGTATGAGGGTTGTTGTTATAACTCGTTTTGCTGTTGACTTCTTTCTTGGCTTGGACTCAGCATCTGCTGCTCAACATCATCTATATATATATATATATAAGACAAACGTCGAGAATACAAGGTCTCAAATGAAATACTCAGTAAAAGTGACAGACATCATAGTTGTATAACTGTTGAATCAGTAACAATGTATAAGACAAGAAAAAGTACAGAGAATAACAAGAAAGTCATACATTGAAAAGAGAATAAACTGGTATTCACACCAAACAGGTCTCACATAGAGATACTACCAAGTGAGAGGCTAGCTAGCTAGCCCAGGATGAAGAAATGAAAGTAATTATTTTAAGGAGAGGAGGTGGAAGGTGGTGGGGAGAGAAATGGGATGGAGGGCATAGTTGGAATTGTGAATGTAGGGATTGAGGGCAACGAAGTGGTTGGCAATGATGGCGGGTTGAGCTGTGGAAGTGTTGGAATGGTAGGAATGCTGCTGGGAAGTGGAGGCAAAGTAGTAGGCAGAGATGGCAGGGTAGGCTGTGGCAGTGTTGGGATTGTAGGCAAAGGTGGAACATTGCCCTGAGGCTGCTGAGGCACTGTTGGGATTGTAGGCAATGGTGGAACATTACCCTGACCCTGAGGTATGGTTGGAAGAGAAGGCAAAGGTGGTAATGTTGGTTTAGGCAAAGAGGGAATGCCTGGCAAATTTGGTGCAGTTGTTTGCATAAGATGGCGAGCTGCTAGGCTCATGCTCATGCTTGAGAAGGTCAGAGCAAGAAGAAAAGTTGTGATGAGTGATTTGCTGGAGGCCATGGCTGAATTGATGGATTGCAAGAATATGAAAATGGTGTATGTATTTGCTCTTGAGATTGTATGAGGCCGAAGGATGGTACTTGCTATTATGTAGGTTAAGAGAGGGGGGAGATGGTATGGTTTCAGTTCAACTATATTTGGAGACGAAAATAGATCCTTACCAGTCCTTTTTTGTTAGTTCACCTTCCCCTGTTTGAATAAAACATTTTATTAAGCTGGACTAATAAGATATAATTGACTATTGTTGAATTATTTAACAAGTGGGAAAAACCCAAGAGTTGGTTCATCTAAGTTCACCTCATCTGCATCCGTTGGGGATTTCATCCACAAATCACCAACAAAATCCCTTTGACAATCATATAATAGGACTTTATTTTATTTAACGTTGTGTACAAGAAACAAGTAATGGAAAAGTCACCCTCCCAACAAAAAAATAAATAAATATATATATATATATATATATATTTTATAGTAATTTTTATTAAATAAATTAAAAAAATACTATATTTATATATTAAAAAAATTAATCATAATCAATAACTTAAATTTAATTAATATTTATACTTTAAATTATAACATTATAATAGATCTATATATTTTTATGACAAAAAATATAATATATTTAATTTTAATTTTTTTATTTTAATTTTTATATATAATTTTTTTAAAGAGGATTAATCTGTCTCATCCCGTTTTTCTCCAGTCAAATTGATGGGTTAGACAAGATAAGTTAAAGCGGGTCAACAGATTAAAATTACTATCTGTCTTGTCATTTTTTAGGCAAGTTGGTGGGTCGACCCATCAAACCTAGCTTGTGTTGTCATCCATACATATAATGAAAACGTCATCAATGATATGCTAAGTTTTTTTATTGATTTTTTTTAATTTTATCTTATTATTTTTAAAAGAGAATTCAAAAAGTTGTTAAATTGTCTGATAAAAAAAATATATGACATCATAATTTAATAGGTTGTGTGGATAAGTATCAATTATCTTACAGGAGGAATCTTAATTATAAACCTTCACAAATTTCAAGTGTCAAAACCTCTAAATTCAGCTTCTATAATTGAGCGAGATACTATATTTTGTTTTTTCTTCTTCATGTAACAAAATTACTACCAACAAATGTAAAGTAACTTGATGTTGATAGTTTATCTTCCAATGATCCAACTCAATCAACATCGACACACACACATATATATATATATATATATATATATATATATATATATTTATTTATTTATTTGTCAATGATTTGTATTTTTTTTATGAATAACAATCCTTTTTCGAGTGCTAACTGTAAATATTTATATGTTGCTTTCTAGGATTGTACATAAATTGATTGACAACACTTAATGAATAGGTAAGATTTTATCTTGTGTGTGCTAAGTACATCAGTTTTCTTACAAGTTTTTGATATATTTATTTATCAATCGAGACTTGATCTAATGTAGTAGATAACTTTAACCTTCTTCGATTGGCATATTCTTGATAGGCTAACATACCTATTTTTTATAAGAAGTCTAAGACATATTTTCTTTAAGACAAAAAATTCCTTTCTTGAATCTAGATACTTAAATCCCTGTAGAACATTTAAGGGACCAAGGTTCATTTCAAACTCTTTAGATTAATACTCTTGTAACACTTTACTTTCCTTTAGATAATTTTCAGTAATAGATTTTGTAAATCTTTCAAATCATGCTCGTGGAGATTGTTTCATCTCATACACAAAATTTTATTTATGTATTTTTTAATTTACATACCTTTTTTCTATGTTTTTTAGGTACTATGCAACCTAATAGGAGTTCCATATACAAGTCTTTAGTTAATTCTTCATGTAAAAATACATTTTTTACATCACATTATTTTAATGGTCAGTCCAAATTTACTGCCAAAGACAATAATACTCAAATAGTGTTAATTTTTGCTACAAGAGTAAACATTTCTATATAATTAACCTCATATGCCTGAGTATATAGTTTTGCCACAAGTCTTGCTTTGTATTTTTATATTGTACCATTTGTTTTGTATTTCATAGTGTAAATCTACTAACATCCTACTAGTTTCTTTTCTAGTGGATAATCAACCAATATCCAAGTATCATTCTTTTGAAATGAGTTCATCTCCTTGTTCATAGTGGTTTTCTATCTTCGATAGTTTTCTACAAATTATTAGGGATAACTATAACAAATAATTGTTAGGGATAATGACTTATAGGATATTTAACTTTACTAGAAAGTTTTGACTTATAAGTAAGTTTAGGAATACCTCTAGTGAGATGATCTGATAATTATTTTTTGGGCAACAAATGATTTATAAGATCTTCCATTAAGAGGTTAATGTGAGACTTCAATATTATCTTCATATAGAGGTTCATGTGACACTTTAATGTTATCTCTATTAAGAGTTTCTTATGAGACTTCAATATTATCTCAACTAAGAAGTTGATGCAAGACTTCATTATAATCTTTAGTAAGAGATTCATCATGTCATCTTTAGTATAAAATTATTGTGATGATTGTCTAATATCAATTTTGAAAGTGATGAAGATCTTATTGAATTACTTAAACCAAGATCTTATTGATTTGATGAAGTCAAAGGCTACTATGTTGCAGTCATATGTCACTTAGATAAAAGGGTAGAGTGATTAGTGAGTCTGTATCTTTACTTAGGTGTAATCATTTTTATCTCTCTGTTGCATGAGGTTTCTTCATTTAAAAGATTTTGCAAATGCCTCTAAAACGTGTTTAAACTATTAAAAACAAAGTATTTTGTTAAATGGTTTTTAAGTAAATGTTTTAACTGATATTTTATGAGTCTTATCAGTTAAAATGTTCTTAACACTTTTGTAACAGGTATTTAACTGATATGTTTTCGAAATAATTGATTGTTTTCATTTAAAGGAATTTTGAAAACCTTCTGCCAGTATTTTAATTGATATAGAACTGATACAATCGATTAAAATGTCTTAGAATATTTTGAAAAGTGTTCTGACAGAATTTTAATCGATACAAACACGAAATAATCGATTAAAATAACTTGAAGCGTTTTGAAAGTTGTTCTGTCAGTATTTTAATCGATACAAATGCGAAATAATCGATTAAAACAACTAAGAGGTTTTTCCAGAAGGTTTTAATCGATTAAAACAAGTATGTTATCAGTTAAAATAACTTAGAAAGTTTTATGAAATCTTTTGGCAGAATTCTAATCGATTAAAATGTGTTTCAATCGATTAAAATAACTAAGAGGAGTTTTTCCAAAGTATTTTAATCGATTAAAACAAATTGTTATCAGTTAAAATCACTTAGAAAGTTTTATGAAAACCTTTAGCAGTTTTTAATCGATTAAAAGACGAAACAATCGATTAAAACAATTTGAAAGATTTTTTACAAAGAGTTTTAATTAATATAAACGTTGTCGTATCAGTTAAAACAAATCTGGAAAATGATCAAGAACATTTGAACAGATTAAAAGAAGTTTTAACAGATTAAAACAAGACTTTTAACAGATTAAAAGATTATTTTAACAGATTAAATAAACCAACAGTTTGGAAAACCTTCTATATAAACATAATTGCTTGAACATTTTAAAATACATCTTTTGACAATCAATCAAGCAATCATAAGTGCCACTTTCAAGAGAGAATCGCGCAAGTTTCGTGAAGGTTTTAGAAGTTCTTTCTTGAAACAATATTTGCATTCTTTTGGTGAAGAAACTCATTCTGTAGAGTTGCATAAAACTGGTTTGAGTGTTCTAGTTTCTTCTCTTTGTTTCTTTACTTTCTTTTATGTATTGTGGGTGCCTGGAAGTGTGGGCACTAGTTTCTGTGGCTAGAATTTGGCTGCAGGGTTGTTCAAGAACTGGAAATTGGTTCTTGGAGAAGGTTTAGCTGCAAGAACTGGAATTTTGGTTCTTGTGGTAGATTGAGTGTGAGATTGAAGTTGTAATATGTAAAATGTTCAATCTAGTGGAACCTAGCTAGAATTTGGCTGGAAACTGGACGTAGCCCTGGGATTGGGTGAACCAGTATAAATCTTGGTTGTATCTTTCTTGTTAGAATCGCGCAGCGGAATGTTCGCGTGGTCGGACAAAAACCAAGAGGGGGGGAGTGAATTGGTTTCTTAACAAAAAATAGGTTTTCAAAATTTTTCCCAAATTTTACCGATTAAAAACTGTGTAAATGTAAATAGAGAAGAGAAGAGAATCTTACACAGGAGATTTATACTGGTTCGGATCAAAAGACCCTACGTTCAGTTGCTAATCACTCAAACAGAGGATTAACGCTGTCACTATGATCAAAGTTGTTACAAACAAATTACAATGGAAAAGATAAAGTAAAGAAAACACCTCTCTTGAAATCCACAAGAGATGAAGAACAACTTTCCCTAGAGACGACACAACACACAATCTACTAAGAACTCCACTTAGTGATTCTTATCGCTTCTAGCCCACACCAGGTTCCAAAAGCCCCTTTTTCTTGCAACAAACAGTTCTCTGGCACTCACAACACTTAACTTTTGTATGAAAAAGGTTGTTCTTATTTTCTGAGTGCCATAGAGAAGCTTAAGTAGAGAAATTAGGGTTTGGGAATTGGGAATTTCGAAACTAGGGTTCTTGGAAATAGGGTTTTCGAAAATAGGGTTGATTTGAAGTTAAAAATCAAAATCTGACTGAAATAATCGATTAAATGACATGTTAATCAATTATTACAGAGCCAAAATCAACAGAACCCCAAAACTCTCTGTTTTAATCGATTAAAAGACCTGTTAATCGATTAACAGGCCTGTTAATCGATTAACAGGGGTGTTAATCGATTAAACCAGTGAGCAGATACAGAAAATGGTTTTTCTCACTGTTTTAATCGATTATTTCACCAATTAATCGATTAAAGCCGAGCCCCTTTGATAAATTTGAGCTTTTTGAAGCTTCTAAGGTGTAGACTATGTACCGGCTATCTCAAACTCTAATATTACAGACTCAATCTAATCAAAACAGAGTTATTACACATTAAAACAAGTCTTCAACTCTCTAAGTCTTGTGTTCTTGAATCATCATCAAAATCAACAAGCTTCATGTCCATCAAGTTCAACATTAAGTCATTGAATGTTCAACAATCTCCCCCTTTTTGATGATGATCAAAATTATCTTTTAAAGCCATGTAATAACCTGTTTTATCTGTCATACTAACAAACACATTAAACATACCAGATAATATTAAAAGACAATCATATTAGGCTTTAAATATTTTCTCCCCCTATTTTGATTAGAATAAAAAATAATTCTTCTATGACAAACATAAGAGCTCCCCCTCAAAATATGCATAA